AAAACTTAACAAACGGGGTCCAAGGTTACTGAGTTCGAGCATTCAACCAAGTCTTAATAACGATCGACAGCCAGTGTTAGCAAATACTTCTTGGCATGTCCTGCATATAGCTTACTATCAATAGAAGCAGGGTCTTGGTCTGGATTGAAAAGTACTCGCCTGCTATAAATCTGATTTAATTGATTAAGTTATGAATTAAATATAGAATATATTTATTTCAGTAAATTATTTACAAAACTTAATTTCAAACCAGCGCCTTATTCCGCTTGATACGCTCGCAGGGCTACGGTGCACTGCAAGATCTATAACAGGTGTGCATGTTTACTGAAAATCAAATTTTCTAACTGTAAATATACAGCAGGCGTTCGGTCGGTGCATCGGAATTTGCTGGTTAGAAGAGTAAAAGGACCGTAAGTCTGGAGCCCACCTGGAGTCAGATAATTAGTGGCGGTGAAAATGGACATGAAAACCGTCGGAACTTTATTCGATGCATTTCATGCCATGAAGTCTTAATTAGCCCCGTCCAGTTACCGTGCCATCATGTGTGCTGCATTTCGTGTGCTCGGAAGAACCGCGACGCTTCTAACGTAACCAGCTGTTCGGAGTGCAAGTATGTTTTAAAGTTGTTGTCTGAATGGGCTTCCTAAGGAGTACGGATGAATACGCTTGATTTTTGTGCTGCATTGCCGTCAGACATGCTTATTCCAATTCTATCACGTGCTGCACTTCATTCACACTGTTTCCTTTCTTTCTTCGAGATATTTAACATGTCAAATTTTTTAGCTTTGCATCTAATCTCAGGACTCATTAATTCGGTGGTTAATGTAGAAGTCACTGGTGGTTCTGCATTTACAATCTTTTTACGGTTGCCATACTGTGTTTTAGAGCCACCAGCGGGTTCGAAAAATTCTTTGGTCGATAAATCATGTAATATAGCCTCTCTTGTCTTACTGATTTTGTTCTTTCCAGCGAAGCGTTTCGGCTTAGCGATGAAGAGATCCAAGAGGATAGCTTGATCAAGTTTTTCATCGATTCTTTGTCGGAAAAATCTGAGGTCTGTGCCAACTGCGATCAGGTACATAAAGTCGTCTTGTCGTCTGCTTCTGTTCAGTCCGGTCACTTGTTGCTCATGTCGGTTAATTCATAGGTCTGCGACTGCATGGTTTTCTGTGAGACATGCCAACAGGCGTTGTGCATGGAATGCAAGCAAGCCACACACCATGCAAAGATGTTCCAGTGCCATAAGCTGACCGTGCAGGAGGAACGCATCAACGGCGGTACGGTACGAAAATGCGGTAAGCTTCTTTGTGCAGGGTCGTATATCTTTCTCCCTTTGTTCATTTTTTACTTTAAAAATGTTTACAGGTAAACACGGGGAACCGCTCATCCTGTTTCGATCAGATACAAAGTCGTTAGCGTGCATCAGCTGCTTTCTGCAAGTGAAGGCGGAATCTCGAATCCATTTCCTCGACTTAGACGAGGCGTACTGCCGAACTTTGAAAAAGCTTTCCAAGTTGCTTGAGGTAATTGTGAAATAGGGTAGAATATGTGCTTGTCGTAATTAATTGGTTGATTCATGGTTGAGGGGATGAGACACCTGATAAAGCCGGTGGCATCATTTATTGCCGAACACTTCGCCACTATTCCTGTAGTATCATTAAAGGAAAGGAAAAGAAAAGTTGATCAGTATTGGAATGACGGTTTTCCTTCACTTTCATGATACGTTTATTTTGACGCCTTTCTTTTGTTGAAGTTGATAGTGTTGATCTTTATTTGTATGTCATCAGCCAGGAGTGCCTTAATTTTTTAAGCCAGAGTCTACAGCCATGTGGCAAGCGTGGCGTGTAGTTTCCTGTTTCCTTCCCTCGGAGTGGTATTCATTAACCAACCTCGGAAGGAAGAAAGACGAGTGGGACTTGAACTCAAGGTTTGTCGGTTCAAAGTTCGACACTCTTCCGACTGAGCAAACCCAGTATAAAATCATATGTGCTAAACTCATTGCCTAAGGGAATTGGTGAATCAAAGATTGCCCTTGAGTGAAATCTGCCCAGCACCTCCAGAGGCAGATGGAAGGCTATGCTAACACGCCACATAGTTGCATCATTAGGGCATCAAGATTGCCCATTTGGTATCTGTCGACTGTCTTCAACCATGGATCAACTAAATGGATGCTGTTTCAACAGCGGGCCCAGAAACGAAAACGTCAAAACTTATGTAAGCTGTACTTCCCCGGAATTATACCGCTTGCTTCTTGCGGCCTAAGATATATGTAGGGTGCCATGCCACAGACCCATGGTATTATAGCATCTGTTGTGCATGGGTGCGGCCCAGTGTGTGTGTGCTGGATCGTAGAAAAACATGTTCGAGCACTAGCAGATGTACCTCTGTTCGTAGGCATATATGTAAACAAATACTAATGATATTCTAGGCTTCTAGCAATAGCTAGTTTTGATGCCGTGCGAATCCTAAGTACAAACGACACTTGAATTTTGCGCTGACCAGAGATCTCAAAAGCTTTTATTAGTAAGCGCAAAATCGTCATCAACTTTTTTCAGTGCGCTGCGATAGGAAGGCATCTCCAAGACTTTTCCATAACTTTTTTCTGCGACTAATTCACATCGATCCAGCGAACGTCTTCAACTCGTTTTGTTATCGATCTGGAGGTCGTACCACTGGCTGCCGTTTACTCTTTCTTGGAATCCAACCTATTGTTTTTCTGATCCAGCGGTTCTGATGGTCAGTTCTTTTTGCAACTTGTCCTGCTCATTGCCACTTCAGCTTCTTCTCTCGTAAGCAAACAATATTGCGAATGTATTTTTGTTTAAAATAAAACATTTAATTGGGTGTAGCTGCCGAATAATAGTGTCAACCATCATCATCATCACTATTGATACGTAACGTGATAAAGTGTGTATGATCAAAGAAATGAGTGTTTGCAGAAGTCTAGTGTAAGAAGAAAATGAAGAAAATTGATTATAATGAAGAAGAAGATTTATTGGTTACACTGACTTTAAAGTCAGCACGGACCTGTTGTCTTTACATACCTACAACCAGGATTATATGTATGTGAGCTGAAGATCTATGCAACAGCGAAAATAAAACCGATCGCCGCATGGTTGCAAGGAGGAGCGGCTTATTAACAATTCAGGTTTTTTTCTTCAACAGTTGAATCTCTTTTTGTCCCTATCGGCTAGGCACCGGATGATAAATTTCCCGAGTATTTACTATATGCTTCTTTTCTACGTCGAACCATTTTAAATTGTTTCTCATTCTAGAGCGGCACGTGGCATAGTTTGCGTAGTAAATGTTCACGATGGCCATCGGACTTGCATTTGACGAATGTTCGGCTTCTTGCATAATAGTCTGAATGTCGAACAGTCGACTATGATGTTGGCTCCTTTGATCTATCCTCGTGAATAATAAGCAAAGCAACCGACTTTGTAGCTTATAGTTTATTGTTTAGTTTACTAGACTGCGGCAAGTTTATAATGACCAATAAATGTTTTGATCCTGTTTGTTTTAAATTTTTCTTGCTTGTGTCTCCCAGTACAACGAAATCAAGGGATTATTAAGCGTTGTCTCGTGTTTTCTCATCTCATCATTGTTTGTTTTCCATTTGTATTAAGCGTACTTTAAGCTGTATTTATTTTAATTTAATTTAAAAAATTCAATTCGTTGTTTAAATCGTAAAGCTTGTTTTTTTTTTCAAATATTACGGTGCTATCTTATGGACATTGACGGTCAGGATTGGGCTGTTGAAACTGTATCCTACTCTATCATCATTATGCTAAAAATGTTTGAGAAAATTTTTACGTTTATTTGTTGTAAATCTGACGGCAAAATCAGCATCAAGGTAGATGGCAGAAAAACTCCTATGGCGTCAGAATCTAATGACTAACGAAAAATACCGAGAAACGAATTTAAATAGCCTATGAAACAAAGGATTCATCGTCGTCTTAATCTGCTTGTGATTTATTGCAGCTTTTGTGAAACGACATAATTGCGCATAAGGTAGTCCTATATCTTTATTTGTGCATTTAAATATCAAATTACAGGATACGCCTGAAATTGTTTTATACTGATTGTCCACTCTTTCCGTTGTTAACTGTGCCCGTTTGGTAGGAGCACGTAAACAAGTGCTGTCCGCTATATAAGGTTGCTCAGCAGTGGAATATAATGGTTAATGTTGTTTAATTAGGGACATCTGACGTTTCGGGCCAAGCGTGGTTTGTCTTCAGAGTACATACATGGGTTCCGAAAGCTTCACTTAATAAATGTATTTTTGCAGGCTTCTGATCGTTTGTTTCTTTATCTTTTATAGCGTGTCGTCACTTGTTTCCTTCCCACAAAGTAGTTTCCATTTCACAGCGATAAAATTTTAGAGAACCTGTTAGCGCTAGAACCTAAGATCATTTTTCCTTTCTTTACTGTGAAATATAACGTAAGCATGGTTTATTATAACCTAACGCAATAAATGGATGGGTTGTCAGGCGACAGACTAATATCAACGTTTTAGTCATACCTCAGGAGTCTACTTCAGATTAAAGGTGGTGGTAATTTTCGGATGCTGATGAAGTCGACCGCAGCAGATATGCGCTGGTAAAATGAGAAAATGAACCATCTGCTGCAAACGAGCTCAGCAGCAACAGGAAACTGCCACCACTTTTATCAGGAATAAGGTCCATGGAGTTCTAGCTGAATCGTTTCTGTGGTATTTCTGTACGACTGCCCACCTTCGTTAATACTCCTTCTGTTAATAAATCACCCCTGCTGGGTTCATCGTCAAAAGTTGTAAGAAGCGAGAACTCTTTATTCATTATTACTCGCCTGTCCTTGCTTTAATGTGGCATTATTTGATGTGGTAGTACTGATCTTTAGAAAAGGTTTCTTCATACTTCTGACTTAAATTTTGATCAGGTGATTTACTGCGCTAGTCACTGCCCTTCGTTACTTCTTTTCGAAAAAATCCCTTCTTTTCTAATGTATGTTTAATGCTCCATCATAAATCCGGTATTGCTGACTCCATTGACCTTCTGGGTAGTGAGAAATAACCTGTTTTGTTGAAAATAGTGGAATTCATCGTTTTATCTATGCTATTAATGGTTTTATCAGTTTGTATGCCCTATCCCAGATAAGTTTGCAATTGTCATACTGAATTACTAATAGTGATATTAGAATGCCATCGACTGACTGTGATTTCCTCCAAAGACCTTCACATACGTCTATGCGGATATCGATGCCGAAGCTGTGCGAGAAGTGATCATCGTTTATCTGACAAAGAAGTATGAAGGCTACTGATCAGAGCACAGCTTTGAGCCACAGTTTTTTGATTACCAATTTGGCGTTGTTCCAAGCCACTGTGCTAAGCTAATGAGTGCTAAATAACAGTCAGCGATATAGCAGGTAGATAGCTCTGTTCTTTTCCAAGCACATGTAACCCCAGTAGACGTATAGACTTCAGGAAAAGAAATTTACACTGTTAGACAAATTGGTTAAACATACGCTATGTACTCCAGCTCATGAGCTTCTAGTGTGGAAGATGAAACACGACAGACTTCGATCAGGAGATCAGCATGCAACTTGTCGAAACAAGGTGGACGCATATCTGCTTTCAGTTTGTAATCTTTCTACGACGCAGTGACTGGTACCTTATAGGAAGGCGACTACAGCAGATGTCATGAGCTAAAGAGGTTCTGCTTGTGCAAACAGCTCCAGGTGATGATCTGAATAGACACGAGCTACCGTGCTGTATGACTACTGAAACTGGTTTAATGTTTCAAGTGGTTAAGTCAGCACAAACTGCTTCGGATGAATTTCATGGTTTTTCGATGCTCATCAATGTCAGCTGAAGTTATTCTCATTTTGCATTTTACTTTTAATGCTTTTGGTCTATTCATGTTTTAGACTAGGATATGTATAAGTATAAGTTTTTGTGAAAGCAAATTTTGTTTCAGGGTTCAGCGTCATTCCAAAATGAAGTGAACGATTCGATTCATCTGCACAACGTGTTATTGGAGGAGACGAAAAAACACGCAACGATCGAGATTACTGCTTTGAAATCTCTATGTCAGCAAATGGTGAACAAACTTTTTGA